ATATACATTCCTATGAACTGGTTTCATATTACAATGATGGTCTAAACATGATTTTAGATGATTTTGCACCTGTGAAAACTCGAACTGTTTCATTTGTACATTCAGCTCCTTGGTTTACACCTGAACTGCTGAACTGATTACTAAAATTGTCTCTGGTTTTGTACCTCCATATCTTAAATCTGCTATTATTACTCCCATACTTAAGAAACCAGGGGCTGATCCATTTAACTTAATTTAAATAAACATTTAAATAATTTTTGTCCGATTTCAAATGTACCGTTTATCTCTAAGATCGTGGGAAAGTGTATTGCAATTAAAATTCAGGAACATCCCTCCAATAATAACTTGTTTGAACAATTTCAATCGTGTTTTCGTCCCCACCACAGCACTGAGACTGCTCTTGTTAGAATAACCACTGATTTGTTGCTGGCAGCTGACTCTGGGCTATTAAGCATACTTGTCCTTCTTGACTTGAGTGCGGCCTTTGATACTGTCTCACATAAGATACTCCTAGACAGGTTAGCTTCTAGGGATTACTGGCATTCCCCTGTCTTGGTTTAGATTGTATCTTTCTGGTCGCACTCAGCGTATTCAATTAAAAAGTTTCAGATCAAAAATATCTACAATCACCACTGTTGTTCCCCAGGGTTCTGTTTTGGGCCCACTTTTGTTCATTATTTATATACTCCCTCTTGGTTACATTTTGAGGAAGCATGGTGTTCATTTTCACTGTTATGCGGATGACACCCAACTTTACCTGTCTGCTAAACCCACTGATTCTTTTCCTCCACCATCTCTGTCCAGTTGTTTAGCTGAAATGAAAGATTGGCTTTTAGCTAACTTCTTGAAGCTAAATGGCAACAAAACTGAGGCCCTACTTGTTGGCACTAGATCTGTTTTGTCTAAATCTAATTGTCTTTCCTTGAACATTGATAATAATGCAATCTGTCCTTCCTCATAGGTTAAAAGTTTGGGCGTTATCTCGGATAGTACACTATCCATTGAAACTCAAATTAACAATATCACGTGGACTGCATATTTCCATCTGTGTAATATTAACCGTCTCCGTTCCTTTCTCTCAACCGATAATACAGCAGTTCTAGTTCATGCATTAGTCACTTCACGTATAGACTATTGTAATGCCCTTCTCACTGGTGTTCCCTCTAAAGTGCTATATAAGCTCCAGTTGGTTCAGAATTCTGCAGCCTGTGTTCTTTCTAGAACACCTTCTACTGAGCACATTTCTCCTGTTCTTCAGCAATTGCATTGGCTTCCAGTAAAGTATTGAGTTGAATTCAAGATTCTGTTACTAACTTACAAGGCACTTCATTATCTTGCACCTCATTACCTTACTCAACTTATTCATGTTTACAGTTCATGAGCTCTTAGATCTTCATCTTCAATTTCCCTTGTGGTACCTCGGATTCGGCTAACTAACATGGGTGCCAGATTTTTTTGCTATGCTGCCCCCTGCCTATGGAACTCTCATCCCCTTGATTTTCGCAACAGCGATTGCCTGCTGACTTTTAAAACGCGTCTTAAAAGGTTAGTTCACCCAAAAATGAAAATTCTGTCATTAATTACTCACCTTCGTGTTGTTCCAAACCCGTAAAACCTTCGTTCATCTTCGGAACACAATTTAAGATATTTTTGATGAAATCTGAGGGCTCTCTGACCCTCCCATAGACAGCAAGGTAACTACCACGTTCAAGGTCCAGAAAAGTACCAAGATGATCGACAAAGTAGTCCGTGTGACATCAGTGGTTCAACTGTAAAGGTACGAAGCTACAAGAATACTTTTTTGCACAAAGAAAACAAATATAACGACTTTATTCCACATTTTCCTCTCTACTGCGTCACTTTGGACGCGCGTTCACGACAGTACTATGACGCGAGCGTGTGGCGGCGCCGGCGCTGACCCAGATCCGGCGTGATGACGTCATTACGCTGGATCTGGGTCAGCGTCGCCACATGCTCGCGTGACCACTGATGTCACACGGACTACTTTGTCGATCATCTTGCTACTTTTCTGGACTTTGAACGTGATAGTTACCTTGCTGTCTATGGGAGGGTCAGAGAGCCCTCAGATTTCATCAAAAATATCTTAAATTGTGTTCCGAAGATGAACGAAGGTCTTACGGGTTTGGAACAACACGAGGGTGAGTAATTAATGACAGAATTTTCATTTTTGGGTGAACTAACCCTTTTTTAGTGTTTTTGATTTTTAATTTGCTTTTTGTGAATATTTTTTTAAACATACCACCCTTGTGACAAATCATTTTTATAGGATGGTCCTTTTCAGTGTATATAATAAACATTACAACAATCCAGATTTTTTTTTGTTTTCAAAAATTCTATGCATTGAACCAAATTCATTAATTGATTAACCTATTTTTTACAGCTGAGAACAGTGTTCTATGAGATGACAGAAAACAATGAAAATTGCTATTTTGATATGTCAATTGACATTCATGAAAGTGTCCCAAATTCAGATGGTAAGTTTGGTACTTTTGTCTACTTTTCTACTCTTTGTTTTCTTCTCAAATGAACTTGGTTCAGCTAATTTGATTTCTTTGTGAGCAGATCCTATGCTTTTGTCACAGCGGATTGTGGCCTGTGCAAAGTAAGTCCGTAGAAACTCCTGATAAGAAGCAACAGGTTTTAAGTGTCTCTGTAAAATTCAGATTTGTATTAAAATTCATACATTTTAATTCAAATGAAAACACCTTTATATGTAAAGATTCAAGCCACATGAAAATGCATTTGAAACGGAGTCAGGAATCACTGTGATGGAAATTAATTTGCCGACCGGTATGACCCCAGTCCAGGAAGATCTAGATATGGTGAGAGTTTAAATGCAAATAAATTTTTTATAGAAGCCATCCATTGTTTCAGAAACTTTTAGTGACATTATGTTTCTATATTTTGCAGTACCTGAATGGACTTGAGTCTCGGATTTCCAACTATGAAATCAATGGTGACCAAGTCATCCTTCAGATAGATTCGGTGAGCATCGCTGGGCAAAACAATCTTTTGCCTTTTGACTTTTTGTGTTAAAATATGGTGTGTATTTGATTTTGTAGAATATTTCTACTATACAATACTTATCATGCAGATACCATCAGAAGAGTTATACTGTGTGGGTTTCCGTGTTCAAGAGGAATTTGAAACTGGCATGACCAGAGCTTCTGTATTCGAAGTTTATGAATTTAGTAATCCAGGTATAGCGTTTTTGCAAATGTTTGTTTTATGTCTGGCTGAACTTATTTTAGATATATAAAACAAGCGTTCTCATCTTATTTTTAATAGAAAATAAGTGTGTGAAGTTCTACCACAAACAAAGCCGCAAACTGTTACGACTCTGTGAGGGAGACCAATGTCAGTGCATGGCAGGTAAGCCACATAAAAGACAGAAATAAAACAACTGACCAAAAAAAATGTATGAACCATTTTGTTGTGTCTTACATCTGGGGCCCCAGGGCAATTCTGTCAGTCTTGACCATTAACAGTCTAACACTGCATTTATACCAATGCTGCTCATGTAGTTATCATTTACATCTATGTGAGTTTAATGTGTCTGTGTTAGTATAATAACAGTTTGTTGCTATTTTCATGTCCTTTTCAAAATTAGCGGAATGCTGCAACTTTAAATCCACCATTGATCCCAAAATTACGGCTGTACAGCGTAAAAATGACATGTGCAAAGAAAGCATGAATTACGGTAAATACTAATCTTTATGAAGCTTTAAGCCATAAAACATCATTGTCATGTGTATACATGTGCACATCGGTACATATCATTTACAGTGTTTTTTTCCCCTAGCATTTAAAGTGTTAATTGAATCATCTGAGGCAGGAGGAGATTTCGTGACCTACAAAGCGAAAGTTAAAGCAGTGCTCAAGAAAGGCAAGAGTATATTGAATATAATTTGTTAGCAAGTTAAATGGTAAATTATTTGAATGGTTTAAAGCAAAAAGGCTTGAATAAACAATTTAAAGAAACAAGTTTCATGACAGCTTCAATCCACCCATTTCTCTTCTACAGGACAAACAGACGACCTAAAGACAGATTCAGAAATAGATTTTGTGAAGAAGGCAACTTGCAGTTCAACAAATTTCGAAGTTGGCAAGCAGTATCTGATCATGACTGCTGAGAGTATTAAGATACAAATGAATCGTGGTTATAAGTAAGTCCTTGTTTGTTTGATCATTTTTAAAAAGCCACATCATGTAGTACCTAATGCTCAAGTTTTGGGTCGAGACTATATGTTTGTTTGACACAAAGAGTCCTTATAATTTTTTTTGTTTTTTTTAATTAATCAAAAATTCCTTAATCGGTTGCATTGCAGGGTCAATTATAAAGTGAGAGTGTTTCTCATTTACTATTATGTACAGAAGCCTCAAAACTGATTTTCTTTATACCATGTTTTAGGTATAAATTTCCTTTGGACTCGCATGCTTGGGTGGACTGGTGGCCACATGACACTGACTGCAGAGATGATGCCTGCAAACAATACGCCGGTGTTTTGGAGGAATTTGAATTTGATTTCTTATTATCTGGCTGTGAAGATTAAGTGATAAATTGCATGTCAATAGAAGAACTAATTTGTATGCCTGTTCTTCTATTCTATAGCAACATAATCTGAAAAAACTAAATAGGATTAGAGATTTCAAGAATAAACAGAAACTTTGAAATAAACAAAAAAAAATTCAAGTACCTCAAAATATGTGATTATTTTTGCCATTCTTATCAACCCCATACATATGCAACATTGAACAAAAAAGCATTAGGCTACATGCAATTTGCCTCAAAGCTGAATTATTGTCATATGAAACAAACATTTTGCGTTGCTTACTGACAAACAGACGTTTAGGAAAGTGTTTGTTGTTATCTATGTATGTACATGCAGTTATTAGCCTATATTATTTTTCTAAACACTGAAAACATATTACGGTTGTTTGCATGTGAAGTCTGATATTATTTTTCTAAACACTGAAAACATATTACGGTTTGCATGTGAAGTCTGCTTTAAAGGCACGGGACTCTTATTTTGAAATAACTGCAGCTGCGTCACATGACCCAAACATCACCGCGAATCCTTTGAGTTTATGCTGGAGAATCAGACAACAAGAGAACGAAAGCTCAGTTTAAACCTTTATAAATAATGAGACCTGGGACACGAGATAAACACAACAGGCCTGTATCCGCTTTGACAGTTTCTCTAAGAAAGAAGCATAATAATCTGACGGTCGCTGGATGATCGCAAGGGATCCTAATCGGTCGCTATGGAAACTGGGCTAGCAAAACTTGTCCAGTCTTTGTGAAACATTGAATGAACATACTGTTAAATGTAAAACTGCTTTTTAGTATATATTACAACATTTTAGTTATTAGGTGACTTTAGTTATTTGCGTTTTGTCAGATTTGGTCTGCATTGTAATTTTAACATAAAGTAAAATAAACTGCTGACAGTTACGTTACGTAAAGTCGCGATGTATTAGGTTGAGCATCGTATTCGCTGACATCAGATAATCTTAATATCCCATGAGAATAAAATGAAAAGAGGGGTTCAAATGCCCAAACGGTCACCAACAGCGGGATCCAAATGTTCCAAGAACCTCCAGAGCAAAACTGTGTCCCCCAACGCCATCTCATGGTCGGACACTGAGGATGGAGGTCGAGATGATCCCAGTGATGATGGTAAATCAGTCTTTTGTTGCTTAGATGTACAGTACAGGAGCCACTCTTATCTGATCTGCCTTTTCAGGTCAATTTTGAAGTATTAAAGTAATTTCTCCAAATTCATTCAAGAAGTGGAGGTTTCTTCAACTTTGGGTACTTTTATGTCCCAGCCTAGGGGTTGATCTTTATGGAAACTTACCGATTTCACCATGCCTTCATTATTTCTGGTACTTTTCAGGTTACTTTTCTGTATAGATTTCCTTGTTTTGCTCTTGTCTCAGAGTCAGACCCATACTTTTAATCTCAAACTATGGAACTCCCATCATTCAAATTTCTTGTTTAAAAGAAGAGTTTAATATTGCGTGAAAATATCCTCTTTTTGTTCAATTATTATGATTTTCGTCATAACAAACAGTTTTGGCCCTAGTGAAGTTTCATTAATAGTTAGTCTACTTGTTTGCCAAAGAGACAAACAACAGTGTCTGTAAAAAGCTTGAGATCAAACATGAAGCATGTGATGTGTGAAACAAAGAAAAATGTACTTAAATATCATTAGTGAACAAAATATTTTTTATAGTATTTTTGCTTTATTGGAGTATTTTCCAATAAAGCTAAAGTGTTTATTGATATATATTTTTGGGATTCGGCTATGAAATTTGCCTTGGCAAAACAAAGGAGTTAGTCAAGAATGTTATTAAACACTAGGATGCGGTGAAAATATACATAATATGTTATAATATCTATAGTATATATACTATATACATAATATGATATTATGTATATAAATATACATAATATCATAATATCTAAAATAATTATAATATACATATATAATTATGTATATTTAAAATATACATAATTAATCAAATCTAAATTTGCATTATTTATGCAAATAATATTGAAGATCATTAATTACTTGGCTGCCACCAGCATTTGTGTGTCATTCATTTACACACACATCTACTCATAGACAAAAGACAATATAAGGGGACGAGATACATCACAGAAGACCTGATCAGGAGGTTGACTAAATGTGAAAATTTAGTCCTTGTGCGCACCCTGGATTTGTCTACATCTATGGCAAGTGACAAACAATTTAGGGTAAGATTTCGATATTATTTGATTAATGCTCAGTGTGAGTGGTCAAATTTATATAGTTGCATTCACTTTTGCATTAATATGACTTCTGTGTGTGGTGTGTGTGTGTGTTTTAGTATATTGAAAATTTGGATAAGTGTGAGCGCTTGCAGGTTCTCAACCTCAGTAACAACAGGATTGAGAGAATTGAAAAACTAGAGAAACTATGTCAATTACGGGAACTCCTCCTTTCCAGTAACAGGATACAGTAAGAACAGTTACATTGGTCTGCTTAACAAGAAACATTCCCTTACAAAAAAAATTGTGGTAGTATGCTATATTTAAAGGGGTCATATGATGCGATTTCAATTTTTCCTTTCTCTTTGGAGTGTTACAAGCTCTTGGTGCATAAAGAAGATATGTAAAGTTGCAAAGACTAAAGTCTCAAATCCAAAGAGATATTCTTTATAAAAGTTAAGAGTCAGCCACACCTACCTAAAACGGCTCGTTCTAACACGCCCCCAAATATCTACATCACTATGTGGGAAGATTTGCATAACACCGCCCAAATGTTCACACAAAGAAAGAAGGAGTAACTTTTATTCTCGCTGTAATATTGAAAAGTGAAAAGTGAAAAAGTGAAAAGTGACGTGACATGTGGCCAAGTATGGTGACCCATACTCGGAATTAGTGCTCTGCATTTATCCCAT